GATTATTACTGAGCCACACGCAGAAGAAGCAGTTGTTTGCAGGGTGATCCATTGTATATTCGAGGTATATGGAATGCACCTGAAAAGCACTAGGTTTTGCCTGAAGGATTTTCTGGCTCTGAGGGTGGGGAGAGGGATGGAGTCTAAGACAGAAACTTTTTTTTTTTTTTTTTAAACCCAGAAATGAAGAAAATTCTTGTTTGAAATAATTTTAAATAAGGACTTGATCCTGCATACCGCACGTGTCCAAGTTTTCTGCCATCTAAAGAAAATACAGCCAGGTTTGTCAAACCCATCAGCCCTGAAACAGAGGACCTATGCCTTGTATTAATGGCATGTGTATAATTTATCTGTGAGTGTCAGGGCCACCCTGGTCAAGATGAGCTGGGTGCAGGCAGTAGGTTTTTTTTCGGGCGTGATGCCTGTGCTGAGCTGCTGCCTGTTAATAATGACCACTTGCCTGGCACAGCCAGCTGCCAAACATCCCAAAATAGGGGAGATGGGTGTTTGGTGCCCTTGAGCCTTAAATCATCATTCAAATAGCAATGTGCCAACCCATCAGCAGAATTAGCAGGTCTCTGGATCAAATGTGCCTGGACGAGGACAAGGCAGGGGATGATGAAAGCCAGTTAACGTAGCTCTTAATGTCACCTTAAACGTTTCTTCCTCCTCTTTGTATACCGGGTCCTGCATGGCCAGAGAAGTCACGAACTCATCAGTGCTCAGCGGCTTTCTGGTCATCTGCAGGAGGCGTAGCTCGCTCAGGACAGCTTGTACCGCCTGCACGATGTGTCCCTGGGTGAAACCATCGGACAGCTTTGCCAGGCAGCTGATGTTGAGCGCGTTGGTGATCTCTCCACCGCTCTGCAGGATGATGTGTTTCCATAACACTGCTCACCAGGACCCAGAAAAAGAGAATGCCAAAGACATGCATTAGGGAAAGCAGGAGAAATATTTCTGCCTTTTGAAATTGAAACAAAAATCAGGGATATTGGTCAGGAAAGCTGAGATTCAAATCTTTGTTTGCCATTTCTTTCATCTCCAGCCTTTAGGCAAATCGGTTCTTAAACGATTAAGTGATCGTTTGTTGGCTGCTGGTCAGTACTTTCAGAAAGTCACCAAGGGCATATAACGTGCAGTGGATATGCATGAAGATGGAAAGAACTACTTAACGATGCCTGTGTGCATACACAGAAAGAGAACCTGTGCAGAATGTTCCCATCCGGGTGTGTAAAGTGCCTCCATGAACAGCCTGGTTTGGTTTCCATGACCCTGATCGCAGGTTACTCCTGCTAACTGAGGGCTGCTCTGGGGACTCAATGTCTGGTTTGAGAGCCAAAGGCTTCCAGCTATGCAGGCACGTGTTGCAGAGGCCAGGGGGACATTGCTGTGACTGGCATTTGGCTTGTTAGTGAAGCAGTGAGCCTGTCTGGGTCTCTTAGCTGTGAGGCTCTGAGACATGAAGGGTTGGTTAATGTTTGTGAAGTGTCCGAGATTTTGATTTTAAAAAACCCCAAATTAATAGGAGTAATAAATGTTTTTTGTTTTATTCTCTGTAAAGTAACAGGCTGTCTTGGAGAAACCTAGTAAAACTTCCATGTCATCTCACAGTGCCTTCCTCTAAAGCCCTACAAGAAAACACTGGAGGAAAAAAAATAAAAAGTTTCACGCAGAGTTTAAAAGGTTCTTGAATGAGGCAGACAATTTGTGGTTTGAGTCACAGTATGGAAATGTGGGGTAGAGAGTTAATGGTACTGGATGTTGGGGCAGCCACGTGATGGAGAAAACCTGCCTTACTCTGGCTTTGACTGCAGTGTCGATGCTTTGGAGTGGTGCTACAAAGCTGTCAATAGTTATGGGCATGTTTTTCACTTGGGCAAATTGTGATCTTCCACTTGAATTGTAACCGTGCTCAATAATTATTGGCTGAACCACTGATTCATAAAAGAGGAACCGATGCATGCAACAGCGAGCACTGCTGCGCAACCATACATCGTGTGCCCCAGCTGCTGCTGCAGGTGGGATCATGCTGAACGGGAGATGCTGACTTGCTGGGTGATGAACAGCGAGAAACCCGTATGGGATCGTGAATCTCTGTTTAACGATTTCTATGGTATGTTTGCTGTTTCTGTCTTGCATAGGTTGGAATATCCTGGTTTGTAGCAGGCAGGTAGCTGTGCACCGTGGCTATGAATATCAGTTATGTCATGGCTTTTCTGTCAAAACAAGTTTCTTTAGTTCTCAAACAGTGTGTCAAGCACTGAAGATTGTCAGGATTGGAAGATGAGTGCTTTGTACCATAAAGATCATATTTCCATTGAACTTGAGGGAAGGTTGGAGCTAAAGAACAAGCTAGGCACTGTCTTAAATGGGACAACATCAAAGTAATAAAGCTACCCCGCTTTACAACGTCAAGAGTTAACTTTTTGAGGCGTTCTGAAGTTTGCAGTTGAAATCCCTTTGGCTGGCCCTTTTTCTGACTCCAAATTAGGGGTGAGAATCCCAGAAAGTGATGGTTCAGTCCCCAGAGATGAACTAAATTCAGCTGCTCTCACCTCCTTTCCCTAGGTCCCATTCATGTCCCTTATCTGTTTGCAATTTATCAGAGCTGCACCGTAACACGAAACACATGTTAACTCGCTTACAGACCGTTTCCCTTCCACACGATGGAAATTCTTGAATGTGGGAGAGATTTACAATGTGCTGGGCAGTCAAAACCTGTCTTGAGCTTGCCCAAACGTGCATCATCTCGGTACCCTGGCTGCCTCCAGTGTGAAACTGGACTCCACAACACGATTGCCTGATGTTGTAGTAAGGTGACGATGTGGAGCGGTGCGTTAAGGGTACAACAGTGCAGTGAGGTCCCTGAACTGAGGGTGGTTTCTGTTACTCGTGTATTCTGCTGGACGTGATCCATCAGAAATCAGTGGCGTGAAGGGAATCTGTTTTCCTTGATGTGGTGAGCAGCAGGGATATCCACACTAGGAGCTACTGGCAGGGGAAGTGCAGTCCTAACTCAGCGTTTGTGCCATTACAAATAGCCCAAAATCATCTTTCCACCTTCATATTGAATCTAAACAGCCTTTCTACTTCTAAGTGACCACATCCAGACTCCTTAGTACCCAGAGTAGTGTATTAAACCACACGATATTTGTGATTAAACCATCGGGATGACAGACAGTACTTCTGGGAACAAAAGAACAAAAGCCTGTCTACCAGCCAGGTCTGAAGGACAAGCTACCAATTTTTTTGCAGTAATTGATTTGCGTTATTAAGCTTAATTTGGAGCATTTCTTCCTTGTCAATGCTTAGCTATTACGGACTTCAAGGGGATTCAAATCTGAAAATCTGCAGGCCTGGAAGTTTGTATTTTTTTTTTTTTCTAGTCGTGTAAATTGGTCTAATAAAAGACCCAGTTTTCCTTACAAGCTTGGACTCTCAGCATGTGGGTTTGCCAGACTTGGGGAGAGCCTGTCCATCACTGTAAACATTGGATGGACTAGACATGCAAAATCTTGGATGCCTCTGCCATTTCTCTCGTGATCTGTAAGTACAAAAATGGGATTTGCTAGTGACAAAAGCCCATCCTCCTGACATCGTTCTGTTTACGGAGATGCTCTGAAGTGCATTGTTTAGAGTATGGAAACAGGATAGGAATAACAGAAAATCAGAATCCTTGTGTAAAAAGAAAAGCTTAAAATAGAATGTGGGTATTGAAATGGGATTTTATCCTTCCTACAGTGAAAAAAGCAGCTTGGGCTCGACTCAGTGCATGCTAAAGAACTCATGAAGTAATGCTAGTCACTGCAGAATGGTATTTTAAACCCTTCTCCCAACTTCCACTTTTATTATCTGATCTTTGGGGTAGCCTGTATCAACACTACCTAAACTTCCAGGAATTGAAAATATAGGCAATGCAGAAATTAACTGAAAATTCACACTTGAGAGTATGAATTGAGGTTAACATCAGTTCTGAGGATCACCAGACAATGAGCATGGATTTTAAACAGCAGTGATCAACAGCGTCACTTGAAATACTCACCAAATCTTGAAGCGTAGTCAGGCCTAGGAATCAGAATAATTTTTTGGTAGACTTTGCAGAAAAGTTTAAGGTTAGCATCAAAGGGACGGTTGGTGGTTCCCACGAGCAGCACTCTGTCCTGTGCTTTCAAAGCCTTAAGGAATTTAGGGAGGATCTTCTCTAGTCGTTTTGGGCTCGTCTTCAGTATGTACGTGTAAATACAAGGAGGAAAGAGTTGTTATTGATGCTGACAGCTCACAGTTAATGAGATGAAGTTGTATGTAGACATGCTATATACAAGAGGATTTTGTGCTTTTTTTAGTAGTTTAGTTGCATTAAGTATAAGCAGACTGGATGCCCAACCTGCACAGAAAACCCGTCTTCTGAAAGCCAGGTAAACACTTGATTTCTGCTTATGTGCTTGCGGGTTTGTGCTAGTGCCTTTCACTACTGAATTTGCTGGTCCTGTACTGAAAAGCAGGAAGGAAACAACTCTTAAAGAAGGAAATCCTGATTTCCAGTTCAAGGAGAAATATTGCTTGGAGCCGCACACCTGATGAACCTTAACAGAAAAATTGTCAGGGTATGTAACCTGCTGTGGAATCCTCCCAGCTCGTGGAGATGATGCTCTACCAACTCCTACCCATGGTTTACATGTGAAAAATACACTCCCTAATATTTGCTGTGATTCCTAGCTTGCTGAGGGTCTAACCTGAGAACACAAGCTCTTTGGATCCAGGATTTATTGCTTCGCAATAATTTGCTATTGGACTTTATAACAAATATTTGACTCCTATTTACAGAACGGATGAGTATTGAGCAAAACTGGTTATTGCATAGTTACGCTTGATAATGTTCAAGTGAATATTGGTTGGAGAAGCTTAATCAAATTGCTGCGGTCTCGCTCTACTGTTAGTAAAGCTGTAAGTGAATAACTGGGTTAGGACAGTGTATTGGAGTCTTCCAAGTCTGACTTGGAAGCCTCTTCTCAGAAATGACGGAGACTTAGCATCCAAGTCACCAACACTCACTTGAAAACTTCACTAGATTACATTGTGATTTTTTTCCAAAGCTTTGTTCTCTGGAGTAAAAGTGACGGAGGAGGGGAAATTGGGAAATCAATAAGAAATCCCAAAAGTCTTAAGGTAGAGTCATACGGTTATTTTCTAGATAAACTTGTCTTAATTAAAATACATCTGTTTTCTCATTATTTTTATTCTCATGGTCATACTCTCCATTTTCCTAAGTTTGCCATTTGCTTAATTTGACATTTAGGGCTCCGTTTTACCAGGTTCCCAGTCATGGTGCCAGAAATGTCACCCTGGGGTGAGCAAAGTGACTTTGACTCCCTTTGGCTTCTGAGGGCTGAGCTTAGCTCACCTGCTCCAAAATCCCAGTGCTCTTATGGCAGGCTCCCCAGACTGCCAGGTACCCCTGCCTGTCCCCCCATTTCACCCTCTCTGGCTCCAAACGCTGGTTATGCTGGGAAGTGTGGGACACAAGTGGTTTCAAGCCTGGAGCCAATCGCTCGCACCAAGAATGCGAGAGACCTTTTGTTAAACACCTGCAGGTCTGTGGATGGGACAGTGGGGATGGAGGTGATACCCCTGACTCTGATGGGGGCATGGGGAGAAATTTTTTCCTTACTGGTGGCTCTCAAAGCAAAGATCATTATTACTCCAGGCAGTCTTTAGCCCCCAGTCTTATTTTTAATCCCCATCTGCACTTGCTCTGAAGGTTTGAGTCCAAGAGAAGGATTCCCTTTGGGTGGGGATCACTCGCAGCAGTAACAGCCTCATCCCAGGTGATGCTTCATCCAACATACCGGCTTATGTCCATCCCCCAATCTAAACGTACAGGACTCACCTTAAGAAAAAAGGTTTAATTTTTCATGTGGAGCACTAAAAGTAAAATATTTTGCAAGCAGCGTGAATCTAATCAGGATTTCAGGTGAATTGCTCTCTGCTGCAGTGGCTGAGTTGCTGTGCCTGTTGGGCAGTGTTTTAATTTTCTTTCTAGTGGGGAAGCTGCACAAGGGAGGAAGGAATGGAAGCAATAGCAGTAGGACTCCTGGGACCCCAAAGAAAATAATCTGTAAACATAACTATTTAACATAGGCTTTTTGTTTTCACTGTGGAAATTTATCCTTGTTGCTTTATTGTTCACTTTGGCTCTATCCAATTCCTCAAATTAATAGAGCTGAACAATTTAAGCTCATCTTAACTTTTAGTTTCTTGACTCATATTTTGAAATTCTCCATTATTCTCTTCTACTTTTCAGTGCACTGATGAGCAGCGACTGGACTATTTTTAAATAAAGCAAGTGTGTAGGGGAGAAATGTGACCTCTTGGAGGCTCTTAAGAAGTCACAAGACTCTCCTAGAAGAAAAAAAAAATGTTAGTGAGACAAGCTATTATCAAGCAAGCTTTGGCAGGTCTGGTCGGACTGGTATGTGCTAAGCTAAGAAATACACTTGTTCTTTGTGTTGGCTGTAATGCTACAGGAGAAATTATCTGCACCGAAATAAAAGAGCAGCTCACCTCTAGTTCAGCCTTCGGTACTGCTTTAGAAAATATTTTTTCTGTGTCTCCAATCCACACCACTGAAGGCTGCCATTGCTTAGCCACCTAAGAGAAAATGGGGGAGGGAAAGCAAGAAGTTGATTAAAATGGCTACAATTTCATAGCTGGGTGGCTATAATTATGCTTTTGAATCTGTATTTTGGCAGTTAAAATTAGCCTGGTTTATTTTTTCCCTGAAGTGTTCAGCACTCGTGGACAGCACTGGCTCTGCTCAGCAGTCCTGGCAAATCAAACCGTTTCCAGTGAGCAATCTAACGTTAGGAACCCAACCCAAATGGCATCATTTTGCCTGCTACGCTTACCTTTCATTTCTCAGCCCAAATTCGGTTGCAGTTCTGCAAAAGGAAGCCTGGATGTGGGGTTCAGTGGTAAATGACAGACCACCAGCAGCCCTGCCTGCAGGATCCCTCCTGGTTATCCCAGGGTGATACCGACGGGAAGACAGGCAAGGCACGGCTATTGCATGGGAAACGAGGGTACTGATCAGCAAAACAGGCTGATACGCAATCTGCTGGTTTACAGAATGGCATTTAATTTGCAGCTATCCCAAGAATTTCAAATGGAACCTGTTAAATTTGAAGGTGGGGGTGCGTCTACACAAATGGGCTTCCTGGCTCCAAAGGCAGCGGCACTATACCTTTGGTTCACAGCAGGATGGCAGCAATGCTACAGGCTTCTTCACATCCTGCGCTCTCCTATTGCTATAGAAACGCCAGTGGTTTAGACATTCTGCTGCCAAATTTTAATCACTTTCCAGTGCCTCTCAGAGCCGTGCTAGTTTGCTCAGCAACAAAAGTGATGGCTTGAGGAATGAATGGGTAACGAGAGACAGACAGCATTCTTCTGCTCTTTTTTTCTTTTTTTTCTTTTTTCTTTTTTTTCTTTTTTTTTTTTTCTTTTTCCTCCCCTCCCAGTTGAAACTGCTGCTTCCAGGGAGGAAGCTTACAAAATCGATCGGTTGTGTACATCATAAGCTCAGTGCCTGACTGACAGCCAGGGCAGGAGGAATTAAGTCATGAACATCGTTCTGCAAGGCACCACAGTTCATTTTTATGAACGCATTTGAAAAGAACCAAGTGCGCGTGTGTGCCTGTACAGTAAAAAATGGGTTGAAGGCGGGGGGGAAAGAATGGAAGATGAGGGCAGTTGAACTTGTTTGCTGTGCTGTGCTGCTGATGGGGTGAAGTGGAAACAATGCCACCTCTGGCATGTGACACTTTATTTGCAGTAACTCGTCAGTCCTAGAATATGCCAAGCGGTACCTCCAAGTTGAGAACGGTTTCAGGGAGGAACACAGAGCTTTTTCCTTTGTTGGAAGGCAGGACTCAAATGTTTAGCATTAATAATGAGGGTTTAAAAAATAAAACCAACATATTGTGAAAGATAGTAAGAAAATCCTGCAGAAACCTATGTGTGGACCTAGGCAGTTGCGTGAATGCTTATCTGTGTGTACAAATTAAGGGGTAACTGCTCATTCCAGCAGTGCATTGAGCTTACCAGTTGGAATGAAATAACAGATTAAAATTGGACAGCAATAGTATCTGCCATTTTAACCAGATGCTTGTTTAATCTATATCCTATTTACCTGTTTTCAGAGGTATGTTTGGTGCGTTCCATAAGCTTGCACACACTCTGCAAGGAACATTTGAGAGGGCAGGCTTGTGGCTTGCATTGAACTGAGCTGTGCAGCAGCCTTAGACTTGGATTTTCTGCTGAGTATCCTGCTAGTCAAGGGCTCAGACACCTGCAGAAAATGCAAGTCAGTCCTACTGATCTGTGCTTGCAGGTGAATCCAGTTAGCTCCAGGATGCCTGTAAACAGGCTTGGGGACTAGTGCTGGGAGAAGGCTGATGTGGGAGCACGATCATAGGGCAGAGGTGGGATAACTGACGTTCTTTGTAAAATTAAGACTTGGAAATAAAAATATAGGTGTAGTTTAAGTTGCTAAAAGAAACCTACAGCTTCTTAAAGAACTGCATTTGCATTTCATGCACCCACTATGAGATCTGTTGTGATACGTGGAAACTCTGGCTCAAAGACCCTTACTGAACTTGGCACCGCTAATGAATGGGTGATCAGCTGGGGCTTTCTGCTGGTGACTTTTACCTTCTGAAACATCAGATAACAACCATTTTTCGCTCCTGCTCTGTGCATACCTGGAGAGGATGTCAGGAGGGTGGAAGAGGTGGTGGGACACTGTTCCCCTGGAAGCCTGCCTTTCCCTGGGTGAGGATTGGGCTGGTGGCTTGCTGCCTACTCGAGTTCACAGGCTCTTCACTTGTGTTTATGTCCAAAGAGGTGCCATGCGTTGCTTTGTAAGAACAGTCATCTTTGGTTATTTTTTGCTTGGCGAGGTGACGCAGCTTTTAACTCTTAAGGAAGAGTGTTTCACTGTTGTCACACCTGTAGTTGTCTTTTTTTGTCCCCTTTATTTCCCCACCCAGTAAGCAGAGGTACAGTGAGTAGGCTTGGTTCTGGCTCTATCTTAGCAATACCTCCCTGTGCTTTCTGTTTTGAGGCAACAATCTAAAGGTATGAAGTGCCCTGAATGTAATTTTCTGGTGTTGGTAAGCATTAATGTGACCAAATTCAACCCACTGTATCTGGGGCTGTGTTTTTGGTTTTTTTTTTAAGACATCAGACACCCAGAATCCATCGGCATCTAATTGAAATTGTTGGCAGATACATAGCAGACTGTATATCCCCTATGAAAGCACTTCATTTGAATTGTCCATGGACAGTTTGAATCCACGGATAATTAAATGCACTGTCCATAATTAATTTGTAATTGAAATTTTATTAGCTTTGCTGCATTCAACAATTTGTCGGAGCTGCCAGCAGATGGCTCCTTAACCCTTCTAATACCGCACCCAGCCGGCTGCAAACTGCTCTCTGATGGGTGACGGGTGCTTCAATTGCTCCTCAGGAAAATCACTGCAGAAAAAAACCCCTCATCCTGCTGTCTGTCAACATTGATCAGCGATCAAACAGTATTTTTGGAAAGCCCTGGGTTAAACTCCTCAAACTTGAGAGCCAGAGTTTAACAGCTAAATTGCTACACTTGAAAATACAGAAACCTGATTCTTGCAGGGGACACGTGCACAAAGCTCTTCCAAACTTTGAAGGCTTTGATGGATTTTTTTTTTTTTTTAAAGACTAGAGACTAAGATTTTTCTGGCAACTCACTTTGTTGCTGAAAACTGCTCAATCCTCTGTAGTTTATATTCATAGAAATGCTCCAAAGCAGCAAGATGGTGAAACCTGTCGTTAGACTTCACATGTAGGAGCCTCACCAGGTGAATATTCCAGTGCTGTTGTGATAATGCCACTCTAGTCTGGCTTGCTAGACAGAAAATAACTTGGAAACGTGGTCTTCAGAGGGAATGCATTTCATTTTTTGATGTGAGAGTAACACAGTGTAAAGCTGCTTTGTCACAGAAGTAACTCTGTATATTTGAGTACTGGTGATATTTAGCACTTCAGGGGTCTAGGCTTCTAGCAGGCTGCGCTGCACTAAGGCAAAAGAATTGCTCTGGGATGCTGGGAAGAAAGGCCGATTGTGCTGATCCCAGATTTCAACTGTAAGGGAAGAGTCTTGTGTGGCATGGAAACGCTAAATATGCAGAGGCTTCTGGCAATGTACTAGGGTAAACTACCTGCTTCTTCAGACTGCCAGAAAAAGGACCTGTTCGATGGGACATTGCAGCAGTGGTACAAATAAATGAACGTGATTCGGTGGGGGGGGGGGAATATATATATATATATATAGATGACAGACTGCAAAACTACGTTGCCTCTAAACGCTGGGATTATACAGTCTAATCTTATACTCCATCATATTCCTTTTTGGTACAACACTTTTATAGTCCCCTCTGCCTTGCTAAACAGCATAACCAAATAGCAAACCGCCCTGGCAGTGACGGTGTTGAAATACTCGTGCAGCTTGCTGCTCTGTGAACTCCTTGTTCAGTGAAGACGGCTGCACAGCACACACGGAGCTGTTGATACACACACACGCCTCCTCTGCTGGTATTTCCTCCTGGCCACCTCTTTCCCAACCTTTTAGCCTGGTCAGTGTTGTGCTAAGAGCGTTTTCCCACGTGTGGCTGTTTGCACAATGTGCTTTCTGTGTGCTGCTGCCGGCCGGTAAGGGACTGTCTGGCTCTGGCAGCGATTAACCTGATGGCTGCCTTACCCCTGCTAATAGAGGGCCAGCGCTTGTCAGTTTTATTGCCTTGGAGTCAAGCCTTACGAACTCCCTGCATTTTTGCACCTCCATGTCGCAGAGTCGCACCTTCTACCTTCTCAGTCCTTTCTTCTACCTTCTCAGTCCTTTCCAGATTTGTGTTGTTTTTTTTTCTTTTTTTTTTTCCCTATGCATCCTTCACTACCCTTCTGTCCATCTTTCATACGAGCTGCTGCACTGCAGCAGCGTTTTGAGCCTTGCTGGGAACACAGGAGAGCCAAGCCCTGGGTTGGTACAAGCTGGCAGAGAGCTCCATTGAGTTCAAGCTGGCTCAATACATGGAAAATGTCATTTAATTGAAATATTCCAGCATGTTCTGGTTTGCCCTTGAAGGATGAGTTTTGTTTTGGGGACTGCTGGAAGCACTTCTGTATTAGACACAGATCCTCTCTTTGCTCCAAAGCAGCGCTGGCCTGGCAAGTGCTGCTGTGTCTTTATGGAGAACACAAATGCTCAGGCTTGGTGTTCGCAGCTTCTTTCAGTAGTTTTCCTATTCAATATTAATCTTCCCTACATTTCCTTTGAATAGGCAGATTGAAATGTCGGTGTTTTCCTGTCCTGGTATGAGAAGTAATTTCCTCCGTACGACATTTAAAGTGCCTGCTCTGAGTAACACACAAGCCTCTCTTTTGGAGCAGAGCTGGTGTGGCTATTCTAAGCCTCCTCCCTGAAATGAGGGAGGGGAAAAAAAGAATTTGGCTCTTACATCTGAAACAAATTAAAGTTTCATTTTTTCCAGTGCTATTCACTTGTTTAGGGTGTCTCCCACGAAACAACTGCCAGCAGCCAACACTCAGTTATGGACGGAAAGTTTCCTAATGGTCATTTTATGCTCTCCAGAGCTTCCTTTCCTTCCAGAAACGCCGCTGTTTGCAGATATGATAGGTAGTCGAAAGTGCAAGTTTGCTCCACCTTTATCACAGAGCACCATTAATGCACATTTAGTGAATCTTGGTGTCTAACAATGGTTACATGGATCACAAGATAACAGAAAGTGAACTGTTGCGTTTCCTGTCATTCACTCACAACTGAAAATGGCAGGTCTGCATTCTGCCTGGCTAACTAAAGGAAAGCTGGAGCAGAAGGCTTGCTTGACAACAGCCACAGCTGCTATTTGCAAAAAACCCACAAGTGTCTGATTATGCAGATGTGGTGAATCTTTCAGTGATCGTCTGCATGTGAGATGCTTTAACAAGGTGCACGATGGTGTGTCTGATAGTAGGCGGAGAACTGTGAATATTAAATACTACTTGTCAGCTCCGAGGTACCACTTGCTTTCATGGCTTGCATGCTATACATGCCACTATACATTGTAGTCTTACAATAATCCACATATGTTTACACAAGACTCATTTTTCACCATGGTAAAAAAAAAAAAAAAAAGAAAAACAAAACCAAACAGACTTTCTTTTGGGCAAATACCAGTGTTCAGCTTCCTCTTTTCAAGCAACTTGTTTTCAGTGTGTGTTGCCTTTGCATTTGCTTCAGCTTGGACAACAGTAGATTCCTGCAGATCAGGGTATAAAAGGTTCCTTATCCTTCCATTCCTTGTGAATGTTTTTCCTAACATATAAACGATTTCCCTTGCCGCCGCTTGTGTCCGTTGCCTCTTGTCCTGTTGCTGTGCACCTCTGTGGAAAACATGGCTCTGTTCTTTGTGTCCCACGAAGCCCCTGAAAACAGCAGCTGGACTCCCTGTCATTCCAGCCTTCTAGGCTGAAACAACTGCATTTGTTCAGTTTGTCTGGTGCGCTCCAGCTCCCGCATCTTCACGGCTCTCCACTGGACTTGCTCGCTTGTCAACATCTGTCTTGTGAGAGAGTGACTCCACCCTAGGTGCAGGATGTGAGGGTATTGGGTGCTGGAAAGAGGCAGCAACTGATGGCAGGACAAATGGAGTGGCTGGCTGTGGCAGGGACTCGAGATCCCAGAGACAGGGAAAATGAGACACATTTGGCACTGTCAAGACCAAAGAAAGAGGTAACTGCAGAGGTAAGAGCTTTTGTGGATGGAGGATTGTCTCCAGCCTGGCTCTGAGAACCTACAGAATCCAACTTGAAATCGGCAGCAGATTGTACAAACCAGTGGTCTGGGAGAGAGGTGAAACAACTGAAGGGGTCAGGAATGGCAATCCAACACAGTTGATTTGAATAATGCTACAAGAGGCCGGTGCTCTGTTGATGAGTTTGTAGAGAAACGAGCAGGCAGATGAAGTATTCCTTGGAAAGAGATACTCCATGCTGTTTGCTCTGTTATTAGAGGAGCAGAGTTTGAAGCAGCGGTGCTGTTGCAGTTGGAACAAATCGCCTTTTGATAAGCAAGTGCCTGGACAGCCCTCATTCCGTGTGATTGACTGCAAGCATCTTCCATCCTGGTAACTCGTGGAGGTTCACAAAAGTGTCATTACTTCTTCTGTAAGAGCTACAGCAGAGAAGTAAGCTTGGACTGCTCCCCGTGATTTTGGGTGAGGTGTTGGATAATGTTTCCATTTGTTCTCAAGTAACGTGGAAAAATGTAAGGGTTTTGATATGCTTATATCTATACTTAGGTACATACATACATTATGTGTGTATATAATTACATATCTGATGTGTGTAGATATATGCACACATTTTATGTACGTTCCAGTTATATATTATATGGGTGTGTACAAAAAAAACTTGAATATCTTCAGCTGGAACCTTTCACAGGGAGTGAAAAGCTGCCTGCCTTTCTCCTGTGTGTAAAGGCGCTGTGCTCTAGCAGGGACTGGATGATGGAAAGGATGGGGTGTGTGCTGTGCCTGCAGCCAGGCACGTGCTTTGCTGTTGATGAGGGCAGAGAACCACGGTGGAGAAGGGTGAAATGTGCAGACCGGCGGGTGGAGAGGGAGTATCAGCTCAGTCTAATGGCACTGGCTTCTGTCAGGGAGTGCCAGACCCAGCGTTAGTGTCACGGCATCAAAGGTGCACGATCACAGCACCGTCACTTTTCCTTCGGCACTGCTCTGACCAGCCAGAAATGGGGTCCCTGGGGATCGCTTTGCTTTTAACTGTGAAACCTGTATTTTCTGGGGATGGAGGCACCTGCCATGAAACCTGCTGTAGTACTGGATTTAATAAAATACATCTGATAAATCCCAGGGAAAGCCAATTTGAATTCAGTCTTTTAGTAGGCCTCTGGCACTGGAAAAATATTGTATTTGGCTTTTTCTTGTGCATGTGCTGTGTCTTTTCTTTCTTAAGAGTATTTAGTCTGGAAATGTTTACCAGCTTCCTTCCTTCGCAGAAATGCTGAAGACTTAAAATGTGGAAGAAATCCAGCCAGGATAGTGTCTTTTTTCTAAAGAGGATTTGGGATATGTTCTTCACAGTTCATATGCTTTCTTTCATTTCCAGACTTCTCGTACATTTCTGCTAATGTAATCCTGAACTAGGATTCCCTCTTTTGAAAAGCTTGCTGATAGGTAAACAGAGAGCAGTACAGGGGAGAGCTGTTTTACAGCAACAGACCCCAAGAGGAAATTTTTGACCACCCCAAGTCTAGTATTTGATTAAATGCTGCATGGAAAGCATTCCTGACTGATGTGTGTATAAACAGAGGGTGGAATTTTCCTTATCTATGATGCTTTTTATATTCAAAGTAACAATGCTTGCGCAAATGCTAATGTGAAAAATATGGCTACTACGAGGGATTTCTCAAGGGGCACTATATCCTCTACAGCGGTGCACACACTGGCTGTCAGCGAGTGGTTTGGAACCCTTGAAAGCAGGGAGGGAATTTCGAACTGGGTTGGCAGTCCCTTGGCCCTTGGGCAGCTGTGCCCTCGCATGACTGGTGTGTATGTTCCTTGGTACTGAGGAACTACAGTTCAGTTCCCTGTTCCAGAAAAGATGCGATGATGAACTGAACCGATTTTGTCAAGAAGCACACAAAACTCAGTACCTTGAGAACCATTTGAAGCATCATTTGTAGGCTGCTCTTGCCTGGATATTTCCCAGCAATATTGGAAGCAGATAAGTTGAAGAGGTTGGCTCCTGTTTCTGTGCAGATGGCATGCACCAGCATTCTCTTTCCAACACCAGCAGGTCCAGCTAGTAACAAAGCTTTCACCAAAGGAGCCTTCTCATGGACCGTCTGGGAACCTGTAAAAAGTTATACGGCACTATTATTGCTTTCATTTAAGTCTGCCATAAATGTAATGGAATGGTTTTTTTTCCTTTTTTCTTCACTGCAAATAATTTATAATGTGAATTCATTGTTTCCTTAATATGACACAAGCGCCCTGCAGTTCAGCTCTGTGCAGCCGGAGCTCTGGCTGTAGCACATTTGAGCTAACAACCCTGTTTGTAGCAAAACTTGGCCACTCTTATTGTCCCTTCCAATGGGCAAACTTCAGCTCTAAATCTATGTGAGCTAAAAGAACAGTAATTCATCGGTAAATTTGAGGATGGCACTGAAATGAAGCTGCTGCTGGTGCTGTGTGTACAGACAAGCCTGGGGTCTGCGCAAGGGACCACGCAGCAGTTAACCCCCTCTCTGCTGTCAGAGATGTACCTGTGGCTTTAAGCTTTGCGTTTGTTGTCAGAGCACCTTCTGCAATTGGACAGGGCGCAGATTCATGATGCACACAGGACTAGCAGAATTCCTTCCTCTTGCTGTCTGAAATTATGCTTTGCAGCTTCCCCCTCTTTAAAGAAAACAAACTAATGGGACGATCTACTGGAGATGTGTTTGCCAGTGATTTTGAAACCAGATGTTACCACGTGTTTTATTTTCTCTCCTTTAACTTCTCCGTTTTTTGGGTAATTTTTCCTTTCGAGTGCTGTTTGGTAAGCATTGGAGGCTCAGACTGTTTGTCGCTTTAGGCTAGCTCTGCTGCAAAACCCTTCACTGCTGGTGTACCCTCCAAGCATGCCTGCTGAGCGTGTGTTAGCCCATCTGCAGAGGAGACAGCATTATTCCCCAGTTGGGAACGCGGGAGCTGTGTGTTACAGAGCAGGTACAACAGATCTCCTAGGAGAAGGTGTTCCCCTCATTTTATCTGGATGAGCAAAGGCAAGTGCCAGGGTTGTCATGCTTCTTCACTCCCTCTGCCAGCAGCAATGACTGCTCTGCGTTTCCAAATCTGTCTCTGTGGCTGCTCCCTGTACATGCATTCTGGGCTGTAAGAAATATGCTCCATCACCTGGGAAAGCCTCACAGAAACGCCTGCGTTGTGAAAACAGAACCACAGAGAGAGATTTAAATGGTTGATGGTGATAGAACTTGTCTTCTCTGTGGCTCTGTCACTGTATGAATCAGGTACAGGTGAACCTCCAGAGAGGGAAGGGGCAGGAAATGTCAAATGCTTTCTCCGTATCCACTCGTAATCCAGCAACATCACTGCCTCGATGCCTAAAAATGTCCTGTGTCAGTGGTGGTGGTTGTTACAAAGTCAGATTTGAAAATTTATGTGAGCATCCGCTACTTCTGGAGGTCTTTGAGACTGGTGCCCATCAGGCTGTGGGACCTGTGGGGGAAACTGGCCCCACACAAAGGTGATGGGCTGCAGAGGGAGCCTATGGCAAAGTTCTCTGGGTTAAGGGGGGCAGCTAGGTAAGAATGGTATTTAAAAATAAATCCGATCAGGCTACCTGTGTCGAATAAATGGCAATGAACCGAGTGCTAAGATGAATGCCATTATTTCAGCGCTGTGCAGGATGCAGTGAAGTTGTCAGCCACCCAGGCTTTATTAATATTTGGTCATTCCATACTAATCCATTACTATTACACATAGATTTATTATGAGGGGAGCAGCAGACTCCTCTGTGGTTAAAGATGAAGTATATCTTCTACTATTATTTCTCCTTTCAGCTGCTTATAGTTTTCTCAATGCCATTTAAGCTGGAGCACTCCTTGCCATCAGGTGACTATTTTGAGGAAAAACTTTCACTTTTACACATACATACACAATTATCTAATGATTGACTAGTTTTGAGACCAATTAAGTAAAATGTCATCCATAACATATCACCCCAAAGGTGAAACCATTCCCATGCCTTTTTTTTGCCTCATGAAATACCTTATTTTTTTTACTCAAAGGCATTTTTCAAACTGTTATTGCAAATACTTTTGGTTTGTTTAACTAGTCCAGGGTCTAGAATTCTTGCCAATTGTATAAATGGCAGAAAAGTTATGGGTTCTCTTTCCTCCTGTATTGGGGTGGGGGGAGTGTTGGGGCTTGGTTTTGCTAGATGAGATGGTGTTAAAACATAACCTTGGAGGAGTTACTAGAGAGGTGAAATACCACATTGCAGTCAGTGCAGACAGGGATAACTGCTGAGTGCTCTCAGCTGATTGCAGCCAGCCCCTGAGGGTGCACCTAAAACCGTCTGAGAGGGTTTTAGATAAGAAGAGCCCCACCTGGGCTGAAGGCAGGGATGCTGCCAGTATCCTGGTTGTTAACCTGCAGATGTAGGTTAGCAGGAGCACTCTCCTCTTCCTGAAGCCCCAGACTTGTGCCACTTCTGCACCGAGCTCTCTATGGCACGTGGAGCCTTTGGTGACAGCAGGAGCCAGGAAACGCCAGGAGAGCCGCAGCACACGTGTGTGCAGAGCAGGC